ACCATCAGGTAGCTTGGCTGCCTTTAAAACTCCACAAAAGATTGATTTCTCTCTATTTGTCATTGAGAAGCACACCTTTGCAAACTTTGTTCTCTTACTATCTTTTGGATGAAGGTTCTTCCTGATTCCCATATCCTTCAAATCATACCGGGCTTTTGCATGATCCTTTGTTTTGCCAGAAATATCCAAAAGAGTTCCAAGTATGCTATCAACTATGTTATTTTCTATGTGCATTACATCAAGGTTGTGGTGTAACAAGTTGTGCTGCCAATAAGGTAATTCAAAAAAAATTGACATTTTCTTCTATGTGACATTATTTGATCTCTTTCTCTTCTTCCCAAACACATTTTCAAAATCATGTAAGCTATTAAGCACATCAGCTCCCTTTAAGGAAGGTGGAGGAGGCCTGAATTCAGTTTTTCCATTGAAAGATCTTTTGTTAGATCTCCATGGATGATCCATGGGTAGAAAAACACGATGATCCATGTAATACATTTTCCGACTATGTTTAAGATAGCGAGAATTAGTGCCATAGTTACAACAAGGGCAAGCAAACTTTCCTTTTGTACTCCAACCAGATAACATAGCATATGCAGGAAAGTCACTGATTGTCCACGTAAGAGCTGCCCGCATTTGAAAAGTTTGATTTCTTGAAGCATCATATGTTTCAACCCCAGAATCCCACAATAAATTTAACTCATCTATCAATGGTTGTAAGTAAATATCAATGTCATTTCCAGGTGATCGCGGCCCAGGTATAAGTAAAGAAAGTATAGAATATTCAGATTTCATGCACATTCAAGGCAGCAGATTATACACCATCAACATAACTGGCCATGTGCTATGTGATATACTCATGGTTCTAAATGGATTGAATCCATCACTTGACAAGCCAAGTCTCACATTGCGACAATCTAGTGCAAAATCTGGATGCAACCTACCAAAATCTTTCCATGCTAGACCATCAGCAGGATGCCTTAACTTTTCCATCTTTTAGAACGCTCCTCTTCATGCCACCTCAAAGAATCTGCCGTCTTTGAGCACATAAATTGCCTTTTGAGTCTAGAAATTAATGGAAAGTGTCTCAAAGTCTTTGCTGAAACTCGATGTTATTTTTTTGAAGGTACAAGCTCACTATCAACTTCAGGAGATTGAATATATCATGAAGCTCCACAAGTATGACAAAATTCATCAGCCTTATGATCATTCCTGAACAACATGCAATCATTGGGACATGCTTCAATCTTCTCATAATCAAGACCAAGATTCTTAACCATAGACTTGGTTTTATTGTAAGACGGAGAAATGTTCAACTCGGCATCGCCTCTTTTAATAACTCTAAAAGAGAAGTGAATTATTCATTGCTCCATCCATGTAGACACTTCAACAAATATAAACGAAGTGTGAATGATAATTTAGAGAATCCTATACAACTAGGATATAATTCTTGGCTTGCCTCTTCAACTAAGTTATAAAATTTCTTGGCATCTTTATTTGGACCATCATAAACTCCTTTAGCCTATGCAACATATCTAAATTGATCATTCAACAATCTATCAATATCATCACGCGAGTAATCCATATAATCGTTAACATTCAACTTGATATCCCATTCCTCGTGATTGATCCACCTAGTATAGCCTTTAACGAATCCATAGCATATTAGATGATCATACACTACATTCCTTCGAGTCCAACGAATATTACAATATTTTTCACATGGACACTGAATTCCTCTCCTTGAGGATCTCCATAAGAGTAAGCAAAATCTAGAAATGATTCAACGCCATCAATATACTTTTTGCTATACCTTGCTAAATTCATCCAATCCTTGAATGGGATATGTGAATTACTAGAAGAAGTTATCAATATTTAATGTTTGAGTAACAATCATTAACTACTTCACAAATAAGTTTTAAAAGTCATGAGTAAGTTATCAGAATCATGTGTTATGAGATGATAAAAGTTTCTTACTTAGTCATGACACTTTTGCTATGCCAAATCAAACCTTGAATCCTCCACAAATGTTTTTGAATGTTGATGATACTACCAAGGAAAAAATGAGTAAAATTTATAGGATAGACACAATTAAGAAACAAAGTAAATAAATAGAATTCAAATGATTAAAAGTTAAAGTTTTGTGATTGAATTTAGAGCTTTAGAGCTTTTAGAGTTTCTTAAAACTAAGTCCAAAATTTTAAAATCTCATTCTTGTGCACACCTAATCAGAGAAGTATCAAACATATAATACCATGTTTAAACATTCAAGCAAACATTCTTATGATCCTATAATAGATAGTCGATCAACAACTTATGAAAGTCACTTTGTATTAGTAATACAATAATTTTTTATATTTGTTGTCTTAGTAATACAACAGTTTCCAAATTTCACACTGTATTAGTGACACAGCGATTTTTTAAATTTTCTCTATATCATTGATACAACAACAGATACAAAGAGAATTGTTGTATTAGTGATACAGAACGAACTACAGAAACTCTTGTATCACTAATACATAGAGAATTTCATAATTGTTGTATCAGTGATACATGGAGAAATTTTTTTTATCCTTCCCTTTTGTGGTGAATGTTCTGTGAATATAGTGTTTGTTACAACTGTTATCATGTTATTAAGTTTTTAGCAGGAGTTTGTCATTTCCTTCAAGTGTTTGAGTATCAGAATCAACCCATTTATACTTGTCCACATCTGCATATGTAAACTTGACACTAGTACCAAACAACCCAACAACAAATCTCAAGACATGTACAATAAGAAAAAAAAAAAGATGCTATTAAAAGAAGGCAACAGAGATTAGTAGAACATGAACATGTTGGAGATCTAAAACAGCAAGAGAAATCTGATAAAAAGGATAAAGATGACTGTGATGTTCTGAAAGATAGAATTTCTTACCTGATAAATCCTATTCCAACAAAATTTGTCTGAAATCGTGTTTTTCAGTGAGAAATTTGAGAGAAAAGCGTGACGGAGAGACTAATTATCTTTAGTTCATCTTGCCAACAACCCCGAAGTAATCAATTCCTTCTTATTCTCCTCTTCTAAACACAAAACTAAAAATGAACCACTTCAGCTAACAAGAAGACTATTTTAGTACTTACGCTTGACGAAATAGGTATCGGAAAAGAGAATCATACTTACACTTGAAGAAATCGTTACTGGAGAAGACGACTTCAACTATCAGTTCTTCGATGACTTCAACTCTTCAGCTCAGTTCTTCGACGACTTCAACTTTTCAGCGTGTTTTTCTCACAAATCAGTGTCGGAGAAGAGAATCAGTTCATCTAGCCCATTGGTTATTCAGCTCTCTTCACCTCTCTTCAGCTAGCTCTTTGGGTCAGTTCTTCAGTGAAAGAGGAAAGTGAAAAGTGAAAGAGGAAAGTTAATGTTTTATGATTTATTAATGTTTATTTTTTTGGCCAATAAAAATGGGAGGGAGAGTTAAAAATATTGGAGGGAATATAATATTTTAGTGAAAATTTTAAGGCCACACTTATAATGTGTTGTTTTTTCAATTATAAAAATAGGACACTTTAAAAGTGTGGTCATATATGTAAATAGGTGTTGCCAATTATATCATATTGTAACAACACTTACAAAGTGTAGCTTATACCATTAACGAGTACACTTTTGACGTGTTGTCAATATTATCGTAGCTAAAAGTTAAAAACTTTGGCTACGCTTTAAAAGCGTTCTCAAAACTACTTTAGGCAACACTTTACAAACGTAGTCCAGAATTAGTGTTGCTGTAGACCTAAAATGGTGTAGTGTAAATAGTGCAGAGGGTAAAAGGTCCTTTCCTAAGTTTGGTATTATTACAATAATTTCGGTCAAAGTTCGAATATATTTCAGACTTTTTTTCTCTATACAATATGATGTATTTATATTAAAATGATAATCATGTTGCTATACAAAATGGCTTTAACTATTGATATAGTATAACAGTTTGGTTGTTATGTTGGCATGATATACACCAACATAAACTAATATGTAATTTAAACAACATAATTGTTTTAAACTTTCAACGTATATACCTTAATCCAATTAAAAATCACATACACTACAAACTACCAAGTTCTTTAACAATGTATACCACAAACATATACACACACATCAGGAAATTTTGGTGTATATAAGTTATCTAAAATATATCAAATACACCAACACTCAACCAGAAAATAAAGAAGTTAAATATCTAAAATATATTTACTACACCATCACATACAACACTAATACGACCAGATTTCGAAATAACAAGCACGAAAAAACACCAAATTTCTTAAATTCATTATGTTAAGAAATCACCAATTTCGTCATAATACTTATTACGTACACATACACCAACCAAATTTGGTGTATAATAAATTATCTATACTATATCAAATACACCAACAACCACCACATACAACACTACTATTGTCAGATTACAAAATACCAACAAAAAAAACACCAAATAACAATCACAAATTTCATTGTGATCTATGAACACATACCTATTGCATCCCATCGTATGTTGTGTTGAATTAGAATTGACACACTGTTCATAACCATTATTGAACACTTTTAGAATAGAGTAGGTAGAGAGTTTTAATTTGGTTAAAATACCTTCTTTTGATGAAAGAGAATGTATAACAATTTGAGTTAATTGTGGAAGGTAAGTAAAATAATAGAAAAAAAATCAAGAAAAGGAAGAAAAAATCGCCGGTCATAATAATCTCTACCCTATTTCCGTTTCATTTTTTTCTATTAATATTATTTTATGATTTTGAAAAAATTTCAATGCTATGTTGTGAAAAATAAGACTATTGTTATTTAGTGATTTTAAGGTACTTATTTTGTATACTTATATTTTTTGCCCTTTTGGTTTACTATCCTAATTCTAGCCATGTTATACCCAGTCTAGTTTACATACAAACACCATCGACATGATAACACAATGGAAAAATTACCAATCACCATTTTTCCCCCTCCCCCAACTAATATATAGACAATTGAAAGTAAAATATTCATCGCAAATTGTTCAATGCCCTTAAAAGTAGATGAGTCATGAAGAAAAAAATACTACAATCCATGCTTATAAGCTTGTGTATGGGATGGGACATATATAGTTGTTTCTCTTCTTTTTCTTTTTCTTTTTTTTTTAATTTCCATGAGGGATGGTAGTTTGGGGTCATAGTTAGCTAAGACAAGAATTTGCAAATAATATTTCTGCTAAATGAACAATTAACACAGATACTAACTTCAAGTAAACATAAGATCAAGTGTCCTCCATCCCGGCCTTGATTCAACAATTAACACAGATACTAGCTTCAAGTAAACAGAAGATCGAGTGTCCTCCATCCCGGCCTTGATTCAACAATTAACACAGATACTAGCTTCAAGTAAACAGAAGATCGAGTGTCCTCCATCCCGGCCTTGATTCAACAATTAACACAGATACTAGCTTCAAGTAAACAGAAGATCGAGTGTCCTCCATCCCGGCCTTGATTCAACAATTAACACAGATACTAGCTTCAAGTAAACAGAAGATCGAGTGTCCTCCATCCCGGCCTTGATTCAACAATTAACACAGATACTAGCTTCAAGTAAACAGAAGATCGAGTGTCCTCCATCCCGGCCTTGATTCAACAATTAACACAGATACTAGCTTCAAGTAAACAGAAGATCGAGTGTCCTCCATCCCGGCCTTGATTCAACAATTAACACAGATACTAGCTTCAAGTAAACAGAAGATCGAGTGTCCTCCATCCCGGCCTTGATTCAACAATTAACACAGATACTAGCTTCAAGTAAACAGAAGATCGAGTGTCCTCCATCCCGGCCTTGATTCAACAATTAACACAGATACTAGCTTCAAGTAAACAGAAGATCGAGTGTCCTCCATCCCGGCCTTGATTCAACAATTAACACAGATACTAGCTTCAAGTAAACAGAAGATCGAGTGTCCTCCATCCCGGCCTTGATTCAACAATTAACACAGATACTAGCTTCAAGTAAACAGAAGATCGAGTGTCCTCCATCCCGGCCTTGATTCAACAATTAACACAGATACTAGCTTCAAGTAAACATAAGATCATGTGTCCTCCATCCCTGCCTTGATTCGATATCGACGTTCTGGATTTAGGGGCACAATGTTATTCTCAGCCACACGTGCTTCCATATCTTCTTCCATTGGATCTTCAGTTTGTTGAGCTTCTCCAGCAGCAATGCAAACAGGGAAGCCCTTTGGGTGCAAGGATTCATTACAAGCATCTTCAATCATTCCCTTTGACACAGTTGCACCCGTTGCTCCTATAGCATCCGTGTTCTTCTGCCTAGGTACAAAAACTACTGATTTAGGATTAGTATCTGACATGTCTATAGTTTCTTGTTCCAATACATCATCCTTTGACTTCTCAACCTCCTCGAGAACATATCCGAAAGCTTGACTAGGCTCATCAATAAGCTCACTAGGTGAATCCAAACTATAACATGTATACTTTGAAGGGTTGAGAACATAATCAGGAACCTTCAGCCTACTGCTAATGGATTCATTGTCTTCAAAAGTAGAGTTAGCTGATGCAGGAGCTGCCCAAGAAACTTTTAGTTCTGATGCCCCATCAGATTCATCTTTACAACCAGGATCAAACCTGACCCGTTTAGTAGACTTGAGCTCACCATTCACTGATTTCCTTGCTTTTTTCAAAATTGGCTTCACGTTACACTGATCCTGAAGTGATTTAGCTGAATGTTGCCCACCACTTAGAGTGATACCATCAAAATCAGTTTCACATTTCTCCGCTGCATCTGCATCTTCCTTCAGCCTAACTTGTGCAGCCATATGATTTGCACGTGGGTCTCTACGGATGTTATGTCCCGGAGGATCACAAGATGTTTCCTGATCAATAATACTTTTCATGTACAAGCGATCACCAGCATCCACTCTGCCCTCGGCCACTCTATCATATTCATCTTCCTCCTCCTGCAGAAGTAATCAAGAAGGATCATAAGTCTCAAACAAAGAAAATAGTATCCATAGCAGTTGAACACTTTACAGGCCTACAAAGATACTTAGAGTGGTTTGAGCTTGGGACTTCCATGTTGGAGGTCTCAAGTTCGAAACCCCTTGCCAGCGAAAGCAAGGGGTTTGCCTTCTGGGTCGAGCTCGTCGCACCAGGCTTGCCTAGTGCGGTTTACCTCTCCTATGTAGTTTGCGAGCTATTGCATAGGAGCGGGGGTATTACCCTGTGCGCACCCAAAGGGTAGCGGCTGCGGGTTTCCCTTGTCATAAAAAAAAAGATACTTAGTAACATGCCTATAACTACAATTTAGAATGGAAACGGGTCAATTTACCCTTGAACTATGAAAAATGGTCCAAATTTAGCCTCTGTTAATAGTTGGGGATGAATATGATTTCGTCGATTACAAAATGAGCTATATTTGACCTTATTTCCTAAGGGCAGAAGCTTTGAGACTAATGCAACAGAAATTTCCATGTGGCTCAAAATTTAGCTACAATTTTTTACATTTCTCTTTCCTCCTCTCTCCCCCGTTAACATCTCCAAAAACCTTCACCACACC